GACTTTAGAAGTGTAGTTTCTCTCCTAATGGACTCTTATAGTTAAAAGGATTGGAACTATATGTGAAATTTATTCGTATTTAAATTATATTTATTTAAATTTGAATGATTTCGAAATGTTTAATTTTAAATTATTTTTAATCTGAGTAAGTTAAATTATCACGACTTCGATATAATTTATTTTTCAATCAACATGGTTCAAAAAGGTTTGAATTTTTAATTTTTTATAATTATGTCATATTGAATCAAACTCGTATTACAGCAAGTTGAGGAAATAATTCAAATTTGAGTTGGTTTAGTGAGCTTTAATCTCTAACATAATTGAATTAAGAAAGTTAATAGGTAACTTTTAAGTCAAACTAGTGTCACATCCTGTGTGTTGCTATGGATTTTTAATATATTTTTTATTGTATTGTTTTAACAATTTTGAATGAAATAAAACATATGTGACAAAAATTATTTATAATTTGTAAATTTATATCATAAAGAGTTTTTTTTTTCCCAATCATAAGTACTATGTTTAAATATAGTTTATCAAAATTGTAGTAAAAAATATCATTAATTGAATTAAGCAACAAAAATATAGAAACTATAATGTAGAATATTATATTTCCAAATGAATAGACAAAGATAACATTATTAAGTAAAAAGAAAAAGAAACTATATACTTTCTCATCAAAGGATGCTAAATGAATGAGATGCTTTGTAATTTATTTAATAAAACCCACCTGAAGATGATGGTCAATTGGGCAAATCAAATGATAGTTTGGTTATTCATTGACTTTTTCATGAACTGAGGAGCCTTCCAAATCTTCTAAAAGTTTCAATAAATGAAGTCATAGTTAAAACATAATCAATATATAAATTATAAAGCATCACATTCTTAATAACCATTATAAAGCATCACTTTCACTGTTACTAACCATAAACTATCTTTTTTCTGCTAACATCTCATTTAATTCAAATGAACTGGAACTAAATAAATATTTAAAAGAAAAGCTAAATTATGATTGGAAAGTTTTAAAAAAATAAAGATTATTTAAATCAAAGGGAAAATAAAAAATAATTAAATTTAATTGACTTAAAGAATGCATTTACTTAAATGAATTACACCATATAACACATATTGTCTATGTAACAAAAAGCACCTTTTAAAATCTCTAAAATTATATGTTGTAATTCAACTCACTCATTTCCAGCAAAGTCAAAATGAAAGACACTAATTCATTCTTTCATTTAAGCAAGAAGGTTCACCATATTGTTATAGGCCTAAAATAGAATTAAACCACATGAGATTCCATGATATCACTTTTCTACATAAATATACATTTTCTATCAATATATTTGTTACTTAAACAATGTAAAAGAAAAAGGTTGTTTGGAATTATCACTCTTTGTTGCTTAATAATAAAATGAAAGAAATTGACCATTTTTCCCCCTCCCAAATTCTTTTAAGTTAGATAAAAACTTGAAACTTGTTTTATAAATTTTCATGGATGATAAGAACAAAAACACTCATTGAAGGTTTAGAAGGATTTTCTTAAAATAAACTTATCCCAAAAAAATTTTGTTTGAAATTGTATAAGAATAGAATGTTTGCAATTGTAATTGAATCTAAAGTTGCAGGTGATAGTAAGCTCTTAAAAATTATTTAGGCTAATTAATAAAGCTCAAAGAACTTTTTTATATAAGGAAATACTTCAATCATTTATCGCTTTACACCTTTACATGCCAAATAATTAAAATACATAAATTCAATCAAATTTCTTTAAACAGCTGTATTTAAACCTTAACATACATCACAAAAATTCTATTTTTTAATCATTTTTTTAGTTTCTTATTCTAATTAGTAAAACCATCATAACTCAAAATTTTTAAACTATTTTCATTCCCCAAGTCCATAAATACAATATTCTTCTTAGTTGCTTCGAGAAAAAAAAAAGTAAACGAATTTAATAAAAAAATCCATAAAAATATTTTTTTTTCAAAAGGGGAAAACCAATCTCTATTAAGAAATAAACAACAAATCACACTTTTTAAATGGATGGAAGGTCACTTAGTCACCTGAAAAACTTCAACTATATTTGAAATCCTAAAATTTGTTTGGGCTTTCCTTCTTCTTGATTCGATTAAGGCACAATTTTTTTTTTTTTTTTGGTTTTGTAACGGGTTTCATCAAGACAAAATGGAGTCTCTTCATTTTTTTAGGAAAAAAAATCTAAAGAAAAAATTGTTTTGGGGAAGGGAAAAAGATGGGGATTTTTAAGAATTAAAAAGGTTTTCTTTCCATGTAACCCTTTTGTTTTCTGAAATAAATATACATTATCTTTTCATTTTAAGGAATAAAAAAATAGTAACTCAAAGGGAAAAAATAAAAAAGATCGATGTTTACAGATTCAAGAATGAACTTTCTCCTAATCTAAATTATAAAACATTTTTTCATTTATTAACATTTAAAATACAAACATTTTCAATCTTAATTTTAATCAACACAATCAATGACTATATTTTTACTTACAAAAACATAGTATTTGTATTTTTGTTAATAAAAGATTACGTTTATACTTTCAAAAGCGTAATCTTTGTAAAAAAAATTTTTCATCAAAGACTATGTTTCTACACATACAAACGTAGTATTTGCAATTTTTTTTTTCAATTAAAGACTGCATTTTTGTAAAAAAAGACTACGTTTCTATTTACAAAAACGTAGTCTTTGTAATTTTTTTCAATTAAAGACTACGTTTCTACTTTCAAAAACATAGTTTTTGTAAATTTTTTTTCAATCAAAGAGAAAGTTTCTACTTTTATAAACATACCAATAGACAAATTTTTTTTAATTAAAAACCATTTTCTACTTTCATAAATATAGTGATTGTAAAAATTGTTTTCAATCAAACATTACATTCAAACTATGTAAAAGCATAAAAAGGAGTGCAAAAAATATAGAATTAACTTCTTGTATAAACTTTTTTTTATTTATCCCTACAATAAATTTTTTATTACATGAATGACTTGTAATAACATTAATGGACAATGCACAACAATCACTTCAATCCAATGTTTTATCCTTAAAAATAACCTTCAACTCTTTTTCAAGACAGACAATGTCTATCCTTAAATTGGTGTTTCAAAGGCTATTGGATAGCTTTTCTTATTTAACTTTTTAATAAATTTTTTATCACATGAATGAGTTGTTGTAATACTAATGGACAACTCATAACAACCACCCCAATCCAACGTTTTTATCCCCAAAATTAATCTATAACTCTTTTTAAATATAAACAATACATGTAAGAAATGTGCTATTTGCATTTTGCACCTTAATTTATTCTCTTCAAACCTCACTACTATTAACACCCAATTTTTTACTCAACACATCCCAAACCCAAAATACAAATTTACTAAAAACCTAAACACCCCATTTCTTTCAACTGAAAACCCTAAAAATATAAAGGATTAAGCCCCAACTCAAGGTCAATCACCCATTTAAAGTTAGATAGCTTAAAACCAAAGGTAAATCATTTGTTTTTTCTATTTTTTCATTTGATTTTGTATTTATTTTCATAAAATTTAGGATTTTAAGTTTTAAAGTGCGATTTGGGGTACTATTCGAACATTCCGAAAATAAATTTTCAAAAATTATTAAAGGTTTCTAGAAATTGATGTTCAAAATCGTTCAAGAACTTTCAAAAATTTATTTTCAAAATCTTTTAAATGCTTCCAAATATCCATTTATGAAAACCTTTAACAATTTTTGGAAGTGGATTTCCAACATTTCTCAATGGTTTTCAGATATTTAATTCTGAAAGTTTTTAAAAACTTTCGAAAGTGGATTTTCAATACATAATAACTTGGCACCACGAGGAACATTTACTCTGACAATGTCATTAGCAAACTAGTAAATTCAGCAATAATCTTTTAACACCAAGCACTGTCTATTCAATAATGTTTGCAATATTTTTGTGATTCTAACAAACATACATTTAAGAGGAATCGCTAAGTGTGAAGAAACACTCATGAAGTTGCTCATAATGTGCGATAAGGTAAAAACAATCCATCTCACCAAATTTAGCCCCACCATAACGTTTCTTATTGGCAACATGTCACCTATATACCCACTTATAAGGCAATTAGTTGCTAACAGGAAATGTTACAGTGGAATCAAATTTGGTGAGATGGAGTGTGATTGTCTCATCGCACATGGTGCAATAACCAATTTACATAAGTGTCTCTTCACAATTAGCATTTCTTTCATATGCATGTTTGTCAAAATTAGAAAAATGCTACAAACATTATTAAACGGACAGTATGGCCAAAAGATTAGAGGTCTTTACTATTGGATTTAAATAGCTCATACTTTGAAAAATTCATTAGAGACCTATTTGAAAATCGCAATAAAAGACATGATATTCTTATGCCAAACACTAATCAAGATATTGAAATCTACATTCTCGTACCTAATGCAACAAAAAAACTAAAGTAAAAAATTACTTTCGGAAATGTATTTTCAAATAATTATAATACTTTTCAAAAATGCATTTTCGATACAATGAGAAAGTTTTTGGAAATGAATTTCTAATATATTGAAAAAGTTTCTGAAAATAAATTTTACGATAACTTTTTTTTTTAATTCCGGAAATTAATTTTGGATGAAAAATTACTTTTTTTGAAAATGAATTTCAATACTTATTAAAAAGAAAAAAGGTGTGTGAAAAATAAAAAAAATAATTAATTAATAGGCATTTAAATAATTTTATTAAAAATTAATTTTTTTAGGTATATTGAGAATTTTTTGGAATTTAAATAAAAGCATTTTATACGAAAACAAATACAATAATCTCATTTTTTTTTATGTCTAAAACTAATTCTAAATTATTTTTAAATACATTAAATAGCTATTTCCAAACCAGTATTTCAAATACCATAAAAACAGTTTTAATTGTAGGTATGAAACAGTTTTAATTGTAGGTATAGATTTGTACCAAAAAGGATGGCGGCGAGAGCAAAGGTTAAATTATGTGCAAGTATAAATCAAATGCCACGCGTTGCATCATATATCGTGGAGATCTTGAAAAATTCGAGATTGGCAATTCGGAGAAGAGGCGGCCAAATTCAATGGACTTGAAAACAGTGAAGAAATGCTTGGAGAAAGGAGATGGAGTTGAAGGCGACAACAACGCCCCAACCATCCATGGCATGCCTTCCAGATTCTTCGAAAACTTCATCAGGCAAGGTCTCCGGGTTGACCACATCGAAAAGGGTCGAGTCCTTTGCTCCATGAAAGTACCCCCACGTTTGTTGGTCGGTACTCTCAATTTCGGTTCATTGGAAAATTGATTTATTTGCGTTGAAAAATTGAAAATGCTAAACCAACAAATCAGACTATTGATACTTTTGATTTGTGTTTGATGCTTAATTGTGCAAAAGAACGCTGGTAATTTCTTGCATGGTGGAGCCACAGCATCACTGGTGGACTTGGTTGGCTCTGCGGTTATATACACTTATGGAGTTGGTTCCAGTGGAGCTTCTGTGGAAATCAGTGTCTCTTACTTGGATGCTGCTTATGTTGATGTCAGTGACTTTCTCCTACTTTTCTTTTTTTTTTTTTATCTTTTATCCAATTTCTTCCCAAATTTGCTTATGTTGCCTGTTTGCTTGACTGATTCATCATCGTTTTCTACCGCTCTCTGAGTTTTCATCAGTTTCATAGTAGGAATCTTAAAATAAATCAATTGTGTTGATATTAGAGGCTGTTAAATCCTGAAATTCATTGTAGATCCCAGAGCAATGCCTTATCTCAGAAACATTTCTCCTTTTTATTGATCAAATGCGTGTTTGAAATTTATCAGGTTGAGATTCACATCCATCGTGTTCGATTTACGTGTTAGTAATACATGGGATTTCATTTTTATTTACCCTGATTGCTTTAAAAAACAAACGAATTTATTCCTTCTGTTTACTATGAAGTATCTTAGTGCTATTACACCCTTGAATATTTCATTGTTTTTGGTCTGATGCTGTTATCCTTACCTACAGTGTCTGATCTGAAACGATTGGAAATATCAAGAATCAGATGCTCTGATGGTGGTTAATATGCATGAAACATGCTCTGAAGTTTGTTTGCAAGTGCATTAGAATAAAAAAATCCTTTGATCTGGAATTGCTCTAATTGATTAGATTACTTGATTTATTTTGCTAAATTTTCATCTCTTTTCATTGATTTAGTTCAGTTATGGTGGTCTGCAACCTTTATGATATTAAGTGTTTTCTGGTGGTTTTCTCTTTCTGTCTACTTCTGAGAAAGGAGTTGAGTTTCTATTGAAATTGTGAACCATGAGTAAAAAAAATTATAGCCTAAGGCTTTGCTTGGTAAGAATGATGGAAAGGGGTGAGGATGGAAAACTTGTTAATTTAATGGTTAAAATTCATAACCACTTATATAATTTGTAGCTTAACCATTAGATTAAGAAATTTTTTTATCATCCCTTCTTTCCATCCTTCCTACTAAGCAAAGCCTAAAGGAGCTTCCAATTGTGTGAGATACACTATGTTGAAAATATAGTGTATTTAAAAAGCCGAAGACCTTGTTTTTCAAAAGACCAAAATCCCACATTGCTTCAAGATGGTTTAAGGGGTTTAAGGTAGTGCACTTGAGCTCTTGTGAAGCAATTTTAAGGAGCTCCCAAATTGATGCATAGGCCAGAAACAAGTTAACCCGGCATGTCATGTGTTACTCACGTGCAGGAACTCCAGGGTTGGGCTGCACACATTTCCATGTATTGTAGGCTCATGTTTTATGAATTATTTTTATTTTTTGGTCAACATACCATATATCCCAACTTCAGTTTTGGTTATCACTTGTCAGGAATAAAAATACTCCCACTGCAAAGTTTTAAAACATGACTCTTCATTTCTCCTACAAATACTATAAAGGCATTTGAACATCCTGATATGGTTTGCAGATTAAACATGCTAAGGGCAGGATCACTTCTGATATTTAAGCAACTAATAATGTATACAATTGCATGTTTCCTTGGCCATGTCTCTTTTTGAGCTTCAGTTGTGATGCCATATTCTGTTTGGTTCAAAAATGTTCTTATGTTTATGTTTGGTTAAAGCTTAAATGTTAAATTGCATTGTCAGCAGGAGATAGTTTAATGCAACTATAGGGTGCAAAAGTTTGATCCTAGGACTGCATGTAGTTCAATCTTTCTTTCACTTCCAGTTCATTTCTCTTTGGCCATGTGTTAATGCCCTAGTGTTCCCCCCCATGACAAATGGGGAGGGGAAGGGAGTTGCTCGATTTAATTATTTGTGCTTCATTATGTAATTATGAAACTTAGAGTGCAAAAATTTAGGTAATTGCCAATAGAGCTACCTTTTTTTAGCTTCTCCTTTTTTCTATTTTCCTTTTCTAGAAAACAATCTTCTTGGAGTATCAAGTAATATGATTAGGTTCTATGCAGGAATTCTTATGTAAAGGCTTTTCTGTTGTTTTCTTTTTTTTCTTTTTTTTTTTTGAGAAAATGAAGCTCTCTTTCATCTATAGAAAGAAATGATACATTAAGGCATTTATTAATGTGTAGAAAGAAATGATACGATCAAGCATTTATTAATGTGCATATTGTTGTTGCTCATGCAGGAGGAAATTGAGATAGATGCTAGGGCATTGCGTGTTGGGAAGACTGTTGCTGTTGTTACCGTAGAATTTCGGAAGAAAAATACTGGGAAAATTGTTGCACAGGGGCGTCACACTAAGTACCTCCCTGTCCAAAGTAAAATGTAGATGACATTTATAGCTGAACAGTCATCCTTACATAATTACTTTATGACGAACAAATAATGTATTTTTCATAAATATTTAATACAAACTAAGCTCAGGCTTGTAATAAGAGACCTTGAGTTGAATTTCATTTCAAGTTTCTTCCCTACTCCTGAAGTTCGGTGCCTTGGATTTGGTTGTCTGAAACTGTCAGTTAGCATTACTTCTAGAATTTATCAGTTCCACTGGACTTATAAATCTTCGCTAGTTGATTTTCTTCAGCTGGTATGCTGGTATTGTCTTATACTAATCATCTAGACTGTCAACAATGAATGCTTTCCGTAGGAAAACAAAATACTATAGCGAGGAAAAGTATGATAAATCGGTTCATGTTATGTGTTTTCCTTACGGATGAATAACCAAATTCGAGATTTTTTTCGAAGGTGTCCAAGGCATCCAGAAAAAAAGCTTCCTTCTAGGTGTGCATAGACACTAGTATTGCACGTAGAGATCTGCCTTTGGTGGAACTCCAGGTTAATACTCTGTTGCAAGGGTTGATGCAACAGGTGAATAAGTTGATTTTGTTGTCTTTATTGAACATAAGAGTCATGGTTGTAAGTCTTGATGCGGAATATCGATCCAGTGTCTGGAATGGGCAGTTATGTATTTAAAGGAATGGAAGAAAAAGGACGTGTCTTTGAGCACTTTCCCAAAATCCATAGATTGACAAAATCACATCCCGAGTTCTGACAATACCTGCAAATTGCACGACAAATTTTAGAAAAGAAGGTAAAAGTCTCTTGGTCATTATTAAAATCGCTTATCCGATCAGATTGCTAAATTTTTGTGTTTCAGAATTGTTGTCATCCCATTTTCATTTCTTGAACCCAACCCACGTTCTCATAACTTGAAAAGTCTGCTATTGTGGAATAAAAATTAGCCAATGACTTCTTTCTTTTATGGTAAGATCCGCTAATATACATAAATATATATATATAGCTCAAAAGTTACTTTAAATTATTCAATTCCTTAAGATCCATTAGCTGTCACTCCAAAAGCATCTCCCAAATTGATTGTCCTTCTCATAGTTCTCCTCCCAATACCTCCATTGCCCTTCCTCATCATTGCAGCAAATTCCCCGTAATCTATTTGTCCATCCTGTAGTAAAGTCTCTGTTAGCATTAATATCATTGGGAAATAGATTCATTACTTGAGGTTTAAATTTGACAACCCTAGCTCTAGCTCTTGGCTTTGAAACAAACAGCTCAACGATGGGATAGGAGGGAGCATCATGATAACGTAGGTCAATCTTTACATTTGTTGTAACAAAAATATCTATATATCTAATATCCACCAGCTTGTTCAGTCGACATTGTATAGAAATCTTCGGATTAGTTTCGAAAAGGAACGATTGTGCTTTCAAACTGTTCCATTCTACATAAAGCCAAGGGATACCAGTATCCTAAAGTAAAATTCAGAAAGAAAACCAAACTTACATTATCTTGATCAATTTCTTTGATCATCTCATCAAGATGGACGTCGCTTAATCCAAACTCTTTGCAGGCTTGTTGAAGTTCATCGATGGTTATGTATCCACTACCATCTTTGTCAAAAAAGGAGAAGGCAGACACCAGATTCTCCTCCCTTTCCAGTTTATTCAGGTGCACTGTAGCAGCAAGGAATTCACCATAATCAATAGTTCCACTGTTGTCAATATCTGCCTACCAAAAGAACAAGAATATTTGTCCAATTAGTGAAGATCAAAATAACTACCAAAGCTGTAAAAATAGAAAGCCATAATTACAGATCATTGATTGAATTTCTTACTGCATCCATAAGATCTTTGATCTCAGATTCCATAAGTTCAGAACCCACTCGCTTCAGGCCATCTTTTAATTCTTCAAATGTTATTGTTCCACTGTTGTCAGTATCAATCATTTTGAATAACTCTTTGAGACCACCAATTTCTTCTTCTGAAAGCCTTTCTGCTATAACCTAAGATTGAGTACGAATGATAGTAGAAAATATGCACAAAATTCAGAATATGAGAAAGAACAAAAACGTTGACTTGAAAGCACAAATATTTACCAAAATGTTGACTTGAAGGCACAGATGATACACACAAGTAACAAGATAACATGAATGTGAATTTGCATGTAAGGTCTCTATGAAGCTATCAAGTCAAGATCTAGACACAGGTTGCAAAGGAGGTTATGGATTATAACATGGAAAATCAAAGATTCAACTGATCTCCTATTCCAGGCAGAAACTAAGCAATCTAAGACTGTCAATATGAAGCTTGGGTAACTTGAAGATACTTCGTTACGACTCAAGATGACAATCCATATTTGGATAACTTACGCAGAGATGATAGAAGGGGAAGGAAAGGGGGGAGGAATAGTTGAAGTCTGGCTCCTCTTTATTATGTTGCCTAACTGTCATAAGAACTTATGAAAAGGCAATACAAGATGGCACACAGTTCCACAAGATTGATGGTACCACCATATCAACAATATTTCACAAAGGTGCTCAACTTTAACAAACGGACTATGCCCATAAAACTGCTTTTCTTTTAATACATCAATCAAGGATAGACATTGTTTACATTCAAGTATAAGAGTTCAATACTAAATTTGAAGTTAAGGTTAATTGAGTGCTTGAAATCAAGTAGTTCAAATAAACCCAACAGCTTAATGTTTTCATTAAAGTGGCAACACAATTTTTTGAAGGTTCATGATCAAAGATCACACTTACAATCCATCCAAGGTACAAGGTACATGGTACTGGAAAAATTACTATCATGTTTGTAATCTTAAATTCATATATACATGCACACATACATGTTTTCATTTTCAAATGCAAGATGATCTGAATACAGACTCTTCTTTAAGGCTGTAAGCGAATAATTAAGTTTAGTTTTCCTTAACCATAACCAATGAGTTTGAGTCTCACATTTCAAATCAGCCAGCAAAACAAAAGAAACTTACGTATATTGTTAAACTCTAACTTGGTTAAAAAAACAGAACTTGCAAAGAGGCTCTTTAATCGGCATGTACAAGAGCTAGTTTATATACTCATTCCAGGGCAGTTAATACTAGCACTAAATCCCGGGAATTTTCATAAGCTTGGTTGAACTTGCTCATATAAACTTGTCAAACAAGCTTAAGAGTAATATATACAAACCTGAGAAGTTCAAGTTAAGAAATGCTTGTGTAATCAAGTTCAAGTACAAGCTCACAAAACATGGTAGAACTCAGTTTGTACGGACAATTTAACCAAACTCATTATGACACCAAAAATATTGGTATTTGAATCAAGAAAATTTCTGATATTTATGTATTGTAAGATGTTGACTCCCAGTCAAGTGACTTCTATGTTTGAGGAAAAGGGATACAGTAATGCTATCAGAAATTTACAGGTCACTCTGAAAATTTCTCTTCATAACTTTTCTAAGAAACAGTAGCAGACAAAGAAAGACGACAGAAAGTGGAGACAGTGTTGAGTGCATTAAATCTGCTGCTATCAAGCTCTCCTCTTTCTAGAAATTGAATTGTGAATGACAATGAAATTTAAAATGACAATTATTTGTCCCTCATCTAGTAGCAGCCATGCTGATTGGTGATCAAAGTGTGTATCTCTATTAATAGAAATAAGAAAAATTAAATGTGATATTTATCACACATCACACGTGCCTGGTTCCAGCTGCCTTAACACTAAATTTTCGATACCTTTTTTGCAAAATTTTCACCAGTTTCATGATAAAGATACAAGATTTCACAGAATCACACAAAAACAACTCACCTATATATTGCAACCTACAGTAAAAATTTTCAACAACTCAGAGTTGAGTGTCTGATTGAGCTGAATCTAAGCTTTAATATGCAATGCTCATGCTAACATTGGTTTGATCTCAAGATAAAGTGACCTTGGCTTAGCATGTTCTCAGACAGACTTTACTACTCCCATACTCAGAAGTACATGTAGTGTACTTTATGTGTACTATCAGAAAGGAATAATTTCTATCCAGCTTGATGCAATATACTTCACAGGCCTTGTTCATGAGTATGAACACCAAGTTTAAGATGTTGACAGCAAAATATGATATACAATGTGCTTATTCATCTTTGGGAGAACCAATCCTTTGAAATTTCTGAAAATAAATAATGTCATGCTAACAGGTAAGTGATTGTTAAAGAAAAATATTTTAAGATAAATGTTTTAGGAACATGGCCCGGTTTAACAGTTCAAGAGGATTTTTCTGTAGAGTCATCCTCCGGAGTTTCATGTAACTAAGAAGCAGGGACAGTATCTCCTGTTATTCTCATCTAGTTCAATGTAAAGAGGGCTACACATCTAAAGTGGATTTTCTTTTAAGAAAATATAACTCTAATCCTAAAGGCACATGATAGTAATTGCTTAGACATATATTAGATAGATAATATTCAAATGGATTTACTTGTGCCATTATAATAATGTTGCAATAGCTCCAAACTAAAACTAGAAAGGTCATACATACTGGTAAGAAGTTTGCTCATTTGTCAATAAATAAGAAAATAACAATTGCAAAACAGATAATCTCACACTGATCTTGCTTTAAGCCAGTTCTACAACAGAAACTGAGAAAGGTATCAACCAATCAGAACAAATAAGAAAATATGTCAGAAAACCAAATATCTATACTGCATACGGTTTTCCAAGTATGTAAACAAAACAGCGAAGCTAACAAGAGCCAGAAATATTACTCCAAAACCATTAGGACTTAATAACTGTGGGCTCTAAGTGCTTCCAACACAAGAAATCTGTACATCTCATTTTGGACCCAACTAATACCGATGCAATGCAAATTTTCCAAGTGTGGTCATGTGTAGAATAAATACTAGGAAGCTTTAGTAGTCCAAGAACTTATAAGCTATCTAATTAAAGTACATATTTTCCATTGACTTACTCGCAAAGCCATCTTCTTAAGCTTGTTCATTGCTGAGAACTGCTTCAGGCGTGACAATACTGCAGAATCAAGAGGTTTATCGGGCGCAATTGTGTCGTCTACAATCCATGGGTGGCCTGGTATAAAGGTTACCACCATGGGGTTGTGAGATACATCAGCAGTAAATTTCCTCGCAATTTTATTGCTACGTTAGAGAACATAAATTTGGGAAGTGAATTTGGATTTGGTTTGTGTATAAATGCTGAGGATTAATGCAAAGTTTATGGAAAAAACCAGTTACGATAAAACACACCTATATATTTGAGATGTCATAACAAGATGAATTTAAATTCCCTATTTCATTTAGGTATTTCAAATTTGCCATTATGTAAAGATCTAGTAAATGCAATAATTTAAAATAATCATGAAAGTCATGTGCTCATGAGTTCTATTAAACAATTCATAATAAAATTGAAATCGAAATATTCTCTTCCGATTCACGTTCCCAAATGCACTCGTAGTCTTATCTGACAAATCCTAAAGTTTTTCCCTCTTATGCTGCAAAAGAAACTTACATAAGACTTGATGAGCAGTTAGCCTTCTCTTTGGGTTACGGTCAAGCATTTTTCGTACGAGATCCTTAGCACTTTCAGAAATAGCAGGCCATGGTTCTGAATCAAAATCTATTTTCCCTTGTAAAATCTGCCGGAAGATCCCCATTTCAGTTTCTGAAGGTAAGAAGGAATGCAAGAACAGCACTGGTGATCAGATTTGGAAGCAAAAGAAAGAATTTATCTCTAAAACTGCTAAACATTTTTCTACCAGCAATATTGCACTCCAAAATCACTACCTGCCCAAAATGGAGGCACCCCACTTAATAATATGTAAAGAATAACACCAGCACTCCACACATCTGCTTCAAGTCCATAATGCTTCCGTAAAACCTCTGGTGCAACATAGTATGGACTCCCAACAACATCAGAAAAAGATTCACCTAGAAAGATAGGGGAAACTATAAGTTATTGTAAAAGTGATACATAGAACAATTTAATAAGACAAACCTAAATGTTTATGACAGTCATGGCAACTTGAAACAAGGTGAAGAAAACAAAATGCAAATCTCAAAAGTTTTCCCCCGTAACAAAAACATTAGACAGCCAAAGAATAAAAAAAGACCTTGCCCTTAAATCAAACAAGATATCATAAACGAATTTTCCCAGAATATTTTCTGCTGCTTATCATTGCAGTTACTGGCACAAAAACATTACCAACAGCATGGTAGGCATTTCCGCAGGTTGTCTGGTTGTGAAAGGTCCATGCAACATGCTATGCACTGCCAACCCCTTGTGTTCATTCGTGCATATGTGCAAGCCATCCCTCTTTCCTTTCACCCTAGCAAACAAAAGTAAGCCTCAACTGCAAACTAGTTTCACTCAGCCATGAAAACTATTTTCATCCCATTTGAACCATTAAAGGCCACATTCTCAACGAGTTAAATTATCTTACTTCAAGTACCTAAGTCTGCTGCATTCCAGTTGATAGCCCTTTCCTTTCCTCCTCTTTTAATTATTTAGCTCATTTGGTCTCTGCACTGTATGTATGTCTTGACATTTATTATGCACAACAGAAGCATCTAAGGCATTCTTCCCTTGACTACTTCTGCATCGTGCAAGTCAGTTCATTTGCTAGTTGCCACAATCCCTTTTCTCCTTCTTTAGGTTATTGCCACACCTTAATGCGGCTAACCCCATCTCCTTTTTCCCTCCCCTTCCCTTCCTAACTAACAAAAAGAACGGAAATTTAAACAGCTAAGCTTATCAAATGACAATCAAGATAATACTAAGCTGTGCAAAATCACAGTGCTCATATCACTGAAAACCAAATTGATGCATTTGATTATTCAGTGCATGGAACAGAGTTACCTGTATATCATGCCAAATCAGAGGGAGCATTCCAGCTGCAAATTTTTTTACTATGATCTTGCAATTGCCCAATCACAGCAAATAATTATGTAAGGGAAAGGGTCCACCACTTATAAGTGTGGGCTTCATACAAATTTTTTGTGGACTAGACAATTTAGGCTTCATACAAATTTTTTATTGACTGCATAATTTTAAATTATGATTGGTTAACGCTAATGCAAAATAATTGTAGGTGAAATGCCAACCCTTTTTTCCCAACCAAAGAAAACATAACATGCCATCAGTGAAAACTAATCTGAGGGGAAAAGATTCAAAAGAATAAACCTGGCTTGTAGAAAACAGACAACCCAAAATCAGTGGCCTTGAGGGCGGCATCTTCCTCAATAGTATCAAACAAGAAGTTCTCAGGCTTAAGATCTCTGTGCATGACCCCAAGAGAATGGCAAGTCTCAACAACTCCAACGATGGTTTTGATCAATTTGGCAGCCTCCCTCTCGCTATAATGACCTTTCTCGACTATCCTATCAAAAAGTTCACCACCCTCACAGAGCTCCATGACCAAGTGCACAGAAAGTTGGTCCTCATAGGTGCCCCTGATCCTGACCACATGTGGGTGCTCCGAGAGGTGGTGCATTATCTGGATTTCTCTCCAAACGTCCTCGTAGTCCTCTTGGCAAATCAGCTTCCGCTTTGGGATTGACTTACAGGCGTACTGCTGCCCTGTTGACTTGTGGATGCACAGGTATGTGGTCCCAAACTGGCCTTGCCCAAGCTTCTTTCCTGTGCTGTAATGGTCCGTCAGGCTTGGGGTCTGGTAGGGAAGGACCCGTGTGGGTTTTGTCCCAGAGCTTGTTTTGCTCATTGTTTTCTTGGTTTTCTTGCTTTGTTTCACTTCGATTAAGAGAGAGAAAGATTGTTGTCACTGTCAATGTCAAATAATCTTCCATTAATCTTATTTTATATAATATGCCATGGATGGATGTGGTGGAGGTACTCAAAGAAAAAAAGTAGAGCAAAGACCTTGACGATGATACAAATACAATGGGAAGACTTTTCCCAGAAAAGGACGAAATTAAATAAAATAGAGTACATAAAAAAAATAAAAAGAAAAAGAAATGTCCTTGAAAAAGAACAAAAGTCTTTACCATCGTCGGTGTATGATCAATGTCCCACCAATCTCTACCTATGTCCCTGTCTGAATGCGAATTGCTGATTTTTTTCCCACCGTCCTACCACTTCTTTATTCTTTCCTCTCTTTTTTTTATTAAATTTTGTTTCCGGCTCTCGAAGGCAAGATCTAAATTTTTTCTGTCTAAATTTCCCCGTCATTTTTTGTCGTTCTTTTTCTTTTCCAATGTGCTGCTTCTTTCCGATTTCAACCATAGAATTGTTGAACACGAGTTGCATTTCCTGCCATTGCCCCTTTGTTTGAGTATTTTAACGAAAGATTAAAAACAAAAGTATCTTTTATCTTTTTTTTTTATCAATTTAGAATTTAAAAAATAAAGTTATATTTAAGTATATAGATCTTAATTTTGTTAAGCATTTTAGTATTTTAAACTAATATCATTGCTTAAGTTACTTACATTCCTTTAATATTAATACTTGATACAATCATGATATATAATTATTTAATCATTACCATATCAACATTTAAATAAAAATTTTAAAACATATATTTTTAATTCAAAATTAAAAAATAAGAAATAATAAAAAGAAGTGAAAAAAAAAAGGAAGAAAGGGGATAAAAGAAGGCTTGTAGGCACTGATAGATTGGCTTAGGCCAAGATCAAGGCCAATCGGATATGGTCTTGGTGGATTAGTACCGACTTAAATCGTTTGAGCCAAATCAATGTCAATTTGCTAAGTCATAAGCGAATCAGCCTCAATCTCGTCCTAAGTTCATCAATGACACCTCACCTTCCCTCTATTTCTTTCCCTTTCCCTCTCTCTCCTTCTCCCTCCCCCTTATCCTTTCTTTCCTTTTTTTTTTTAATCATATTTTTATTTTCTATTTTTTAAAAATTTTTTACTGATACGATAATAATTGAATATTTATAACATGTTATATGATTTTATTGAATATTCATCTTACATCATTTACTTAATTACAACAATACGAAATATCAAAATAATTAAAAAAATGAAAGTTCACGTACTTAAGTACGATTTTTATTTTTTTAGATACCAAACTAATATAACAATATATAGTACATGGGTATTTTATGTATTAACCTTTAATAAAAAAAGAAAAAATACACTAACAATAGAAAACACATTTTCTCTTTTTAATTAAAAAAATAATAAGGTAATGTTTTATTTATTTTAAATGAAAAGATAAGCATATATTTTGTTAATTATTAATTATTTATAGGAGCAATCAAAGTATATTGGTATAAATTAATTTGTTTTGCATTTTTTATAGTTAATATTTTTACAAATCAATGGTAGATTTAACAATTTTAATTGTGATATACACGTAAAATTTCAAATCAATCCAATATCTTTTGATCAAAAATAGTATTTTTTTAATATATATTAACAATTGAAATTTTATTGTTATCAAACAAATATTTAGATATTTTTAATTAACTTGAAATTTAACATATGATTTATAAACATAAAATCCAACAATTGTATTAATAAAATTATAAATAAATGTGTCAACATATACATGACATAATTAATTATCACAACACTATTAATTGATCGTGTCAAAATCCTTAACACGAACATAACTTGATATGATATACACATTTAAATATTGAATTAACCTATTTAGACATGGTTAGTATGTTTAAAAGAATACCATTAACATGTTGTGATACCGAACTAAGAGAATAAAGTGAAATGGTTCTCTTAACCATACTCATAAAGAAAATAAGTAATCTCATTGTCTTAAGGATACGGATATCACCACCCCAAAATAAGAAAAGATAACTCCAAATTCTAGGAATACAAAATTTCACCATCCTAAAGGAAAAATTTAAACAAGTTCACCACTTAAGGAAATCTATCTAAGATATACAAAACTTAAAAAATGATAAACACAATGTCTTTTACTCAAAATACTAACAATCAATTTATACTACATAAGGGGTATTTATATTTGAATTTGGAATATCTTTTCAAGAATAGAAAAAAGCTAAATGAAAAGGCAAACATACTTTTGTTGTTAGTAATTATTAAATAACAAAAACATTTATTATGTTAGAACACAATTATAATGTTAGGAATTATTAAGAACATAAATTCTAAAAGTTCTTAAGATTCTCTTTTAGGGCTGGAATTATTATAAGGTTTTAATTCCAATAACCATGTTATTATCATCCAAAAGGTATCCAAGAGGCATCCAATAGTCAAATTATGGACAAGAACTTTGGTTAATTACTCCTCTTAATGTGTGGTTTACTTTTTCATAATTTTGACTTGTGAAAAATTATATTTGGGCTTTGTTTTATTTGGTTGAATTAGGTTAATTGCTAGCATATTTTTGTTCATTAAATTAGGCCATTGAATGGGTAATTTTAAATGGGTTGATATTTGAAAGCTTGTTCCTACATCATTTTCCCTCAGTTGCAACCTCGAGTCTATATGTCTTCATTTTCAAAGTATGTTAAGAGCTTGAAATGTTTATCATTTTGAAACCTATCTTTTTTGAAATAAATCCAATCCAAGTCACCTTCCTTAAATGTAGTTGATTTTCCATATTTGTTGATTTACACTCCTAATAATAAGGCATGACTTGCTTATTGTGTGTGTTTGCAAGTAGGTTCTAGTCCCATGAGAGCTAAAATAATCCTTACCTTATTTTTCACAAAGGTCTAGGTGTTTTTAAAACCATCATAAACAACCCTTTTATCATATTGTCGTGGTCTCCCCAACAAAATATAATAAGCATCTATAAGCATAATAAAACTAAATTAAACACTTATTTGTCACCTTTAATTCATTTATTTTTTGCAACTATTGAATCTTGTAAGGTTGTGGAATCTCTTTTTAGTTTAATTACAACTTTTCTACCATGGTTATTGCCAACACATTTTACAACTCTCTCTATCAATGATTACATCACACACTTTGTAATGATATTTGTATCAAGTGCAAATGATTATTGCTTTTTGTATAGCTTGCGAGTGCACAGATCAAGTAATAATAATGAAAGTATTTCAGTAACGTCTCTCAATGGATTATAGATTGTAATGTTGGATAGTTCACAATTACTAAAGGTGAAAGCCTAAAATCTTATATCTAAACAATTAAAATTTTGTTTGTAAAATAAAGAAAAAAAATATTAAAAGCAATTGTAAGCTTAAATCTTGACTTCACTAACTGTCACTTGGGAGGTAGAACAATATAGTCAAAAACTAGATCTAAAAGAAATAAGAATTGAAAGCTTGAAAATAAGAAAAATGGAGATTGTTGAATGCTTGTAGTAATCTTGAAATAAAATTGCATGAAAGTAAACTTGTAGATCATCAAAAAACTATGGCCAAAACTTTTAAAAAGTAAAAGAATGCTTGAATCATACTTGTAAAAAGAGAAGATTGCTTTGCCGAAAGAGAGAATAAAAACAATAATTGAGAATAATAAAAGAAAAGATCTTGAAAAAGATATTTTTTTGAATTGAGAGAGAACTTTAAAGAACAAAGCTTTGTTATTGACAAATATGTCACTTAAGCTAATAACTAAACTAAAAAAGGAAAAAAACTAAAAACTAAAAAAAGAAGAGAGATAAGGAATGGGGTGAATGGTCTCCTTATTTTTAGAGTGGGATTCGGCCAAGGGGGTAGGGATGACAAAATGTGTTTTCATATTCAAACACTGAGTGATAAGTTTCATCTTTATCTTTTAAGGAGGCATGATCGAATAAGATTCTTCTTACTTAAAAATGCTTAGCTAAATGTGATCTTAAAGAAGTGATCTTGGCCATTCATCTTGTCATGATGCAATCTTGATCAAATCCCCTCCTTAAAGTCGGCTAAGATGGAATTCAAGATGAGATAAATTACTTTTTATTTAAATTCTTAAAATTCAAAAGGATAAAATCTTCCTCCAAACAAAAATCTTCAAGGCTAAGCAAAAGACTCATGATGGATTTCAATCTCTTCTTGCCTAAATGGTGTAGAGTCTTTTTAAGCTTGAAAGTCTTCAATTGATGATTATCTTCTTCTTGCATTTAAATTGGCCAAATGGATATAGATGAAAGTGTCTTTGTATACTTGAAATTCTTCCTTAAGAGTGAGCTAACCAAATGCAATGTAGATTCCTTATGCAAACATAATTCCTTCATGGCTAAACAAAGGAGTCACTTTTAGATCACTTTTCTTTTAGTCGAATACGTTAGAGTCCAAATAAGCTTGAACTTGCATGCAATCCTCCTTAGGATAGAGGTGGTTGAATATGGTGTATCATGTAAGAATCCATGTACAAGTAGAACTTGGCCTTAGCTACTTTGATGGATGAATGTGGATTAATGTGGTTCAATTATGAGCTTCCAAGATTAAGTCAAAAATGCTTATTGCATTTTTGCATGCATGGCTTGTATAAAAATAAAGCTATGAGCTTAAAAACTTAAAATCATGAAAACAATATAAAAAGTATAAAAATAATCCAAAATTTAAAATTTAACAGCATTTTTAGCATATAAAAACACTATATAATTAGGTGCTATTAGTAAAAAATATTTCACGTTACCATTCATCTTCATTTACAACAACAATGTTAAGGCTTTTTCGAATGACAAATGCTTGACCTTTATCTCCATATTCCACACATTCATCATGTACCAGTTTATCTTGTTGCATTGTCTTATTGAATGTGTCATTGCACTCTTATTCCACCAAAGTGATCATTTTATGATTAAGACATTCAGATGCAACATGTCCAAACCCTTGACATTTTAAACATTTACGTCAATTGAAACTAGAAAAACTAGGTTGGTTTGAAAACTTTGATGATGAACTACTTGTAGAAGTGTTCAAGAAAGAGGTAAAAGCACCACTATGATTAATATAATTTGAATGAAAAGTTAGTTGAAAATTA